TTACCTGGTAAAATTAATAAGAATAACATTGAGTAAGATCCTCCTGGAAGCCATATGTGAAATACATCATCAGTGGACAACCCAGGTGTTTGCACATCACTGTGTCAGTAATGCTGCAGTGTTTTAGTGTTTGCCACTGAGTTCAAACATCTCTGTCTCGAAAGGAAGTTTTTCTTGCTCTGCCCTCTTTACCCTTGACTAGTTAGGGCAGTCACCCTATTACACATATTTATTCATTCTGTATATATTTTTCTTATCACTTACTACATTTGTGTGATTAAATAGTTAATGTTTTCCACTGGTTTAGTATCTTTTTCCATGGATAGAGCCCATGAGGGTTGGAAGCCCACCGCTCTTGAACTGCTTGGTTCCCAGTATTGTCTGTGGTGCCTTCTGGGTTGTTGACCCTCAGTACGTAAGAGGGTACTTCAAAAGTTCATGGAAAAATAGCATTAAAAGATAATGCAAATCTTTCCATGAACTTTTTGAAGTGCCCTTGTATTTGAATGAGTGAAGAATAGTTCTAGGATATCAGAGCAAAGCCACAGCCTATCAGGAAAATATGATAAACAATTCTCTTCTCATTCACATTGGCACTTCTGTTCCTTTTTTAAAATTTATTACTTTTAATTGATATATAATAGTTGTACAGATTTATGGGGTACAGTGTGATATTTTGATGCACGTATATAATGCATAATGATCAAATCAGAGTAATTAGCATATCCATTACCTCAAACATTTATCTTTTTTTTGTGTTGGGAACATCCCAAATCCTCTCTTCTAACTGTTTGAAATCATACAATAAATTAACTGTAGTCACCCTACAGTGCTATAGACCACCAAAACTTACTCCTCTTATTTAGCTGTAGTCTTGTAATTTTTCAATGGCTTCCCTAAAATAAATAAAAAATATAACCTTTTTTTGTGTGGGGGTGTTGGGGCATACCTTTTAGGAACCAAAATAAATCATAAAAAAAGGCAAAGATACAAATACCTTCAATTTTTTCAGATAACGTTAGTGGTTTCATTGACTTCGCTATAGCTCTTCAACTAGACCCATCTCACTCTAAGGTTCCACTCTGCAGGATTGTTTTTCTGACTGACCTTTGTTCTATTCTGACAATCTTTGGTATCATTGTTCTATGGCTTTTTCCTCCTGTTCCTAGGACTGGCTATTGTATTTTATTTTGAAGATTTTCAAACCTTCAGAAAAGTTGTAAAAAGTATATTTTTGGACACCAAAATATCCACCACCCATATTCTACAATTAACCTTTTACCATCTTTCCTTTAAAACATTAACTATTCATCCATCTTTTTTTATTTAGTGCATTTCAGAGTAAGTTGCCAACATCATTCCACTTTCCCCTATACTCTCCAGCTTGCATGGCATCGACTGGAGTTCAGTATTTGTTTATAGGACTCTTTCTTTGTGTGTGTGTATGTGTGGTAGAAATGTATGTACAATAAAATGAACACATCTTCAGTGTAACATCGGCGGAAGCGCCGCCGCGCTCCCAAGCGGCACACTGTAGCAGTGCGCCACCAGACCGGCCCTACAGTGTGATATTTTGATGCATGTATATAACGCATAATGATCAAATCAGAGTAATTAGCATATCCATTACCTCAAACATTTATCATTTTTTTGTGTTGGGAACATTCCAAATCCTCTCTTCTAACTGTTTGAAATCATACAATAAATTAACTGTAGTCATCCTACAGTGCTATAGACCACTAAAACTTACTCCTTATTTAGCTGTAGTTTTGTAATTTTTCAATGGCTTCCCTAAATAAATAAAAAATATAACCTTTTTTTGTGTGGGATTGTTGGGGCATACCTTTTAGGAACCAAAATAAACCATAAAAAAAGGCAAAGATACAAATACCTTCAATTTTTTCAGATAACGTTAGTGGTTTCATTGACTTCGCTATAGCTCTTCAACTAGACCCATCTCACTCTAAGGTTCACTCTGCAGGATTGTTTTTCTGACTGACCTTCATTCTATTCTGACAATTTTTGGTATCATTGTTCTATGACTTTTTCCTCCTGTTCCTAGGACTGGCTATTGTATTTTATTTTGAAGATTTTCAAACCTACAGAAAAGTTGTAAAAAGTATATTTTTGGACACCAAAATATCCACCACCCATATTCTGCAATTAACCTTTTGCCATCTTTCCTTTAAAACATTAACTATTCATCCATCTTTTTTTATTTAGTGCATTTCAGAGTAAGTTGCCAACATCATTCCACTTTCCCCTATACTCTCCAGCTTGCATGGCATCGACTGGAGTTCAGTATTTGTTTATAGGACTCTTTCTTTGTGTGTGTGTATGTGTGGTAGAAATGTATGTACAATAAAATGAACACATCTTCAGTGTAACATCTGAGTTTTGATAAAAGTATACACTTGTATAACCCAAGCTTTTATAAAGATACAGAGCATTATCATCACCTCTGAAAGTTTGCTATGTCATTTCCTAGTTCTTTTAGTTTACCGATTTAAATGATTATAAATCACTCCTGTTTAATTGTTATGTTTACATTATAGTGATCCTCTCAGTTTACACTGTTTGATTAGCATTCCTTCTATCATTAGATGAAGTCTGATGAAAGAAGATCATTCAACCCAGGATCTTTAAGAACTGACCTAATCATAAAGCCAAAAAGATCAAGTAGGAGTCAGTAATGAAATTGCCAACCCTGGTGGCTGTGTTGGTGTTCTTTGATAAGGCTTTGTGGGGAAAAGAAGGTGTTGCAATACTGACTGGACTGAAGGAAGCAGGGTGGGGGTATTATTAATCCCCTGTACTCACAGGGACCATACAGGTAGCAACTGGGATAGGGTGACAAGCTTCCTGCTATGCTATTCCCTTTGAATTTAGGAGTTTTACTGTCACACAACTTACTCAATCGCTCTCTGAAGGGAGATAAGGAAGTGAGGATTGTCATATTTACTGAGGAAGAACAATAATCATGTATCTTAGAGAACGGTGGTGGAGAAGGGCTTGTGAGGAGCAGGCATAGCAATTTAGGGCGTTATGTCACTAGTTGGTAATATTCATGAAGTCAAACTCCTGGGGGGTGGAGGAGATGGGGGTGTCCCTTGGGAAGCAGAAATCTAAAACAAACTTAATTTCTATTTGTAGAAGTTTTGGGAGGTAGGTATGTATCTGATAGAATAAAAGTTTGTTGTCTTAGAAGTGATTTATCCTTTTCCTAAGTTTCAATATGTATTGAAGTTGCTAATAGCTTGTTAAATATGAATTGATTTGTGATCTAAAATAAATATTATAAGTTATATTATAAATTACATATATAATATATATTATAAACTATATATTATAAATATTTATATATAATTATATATAAAAATATATATTATAAATATTTATAATATATAACAATATGGGAATATTTATTATATTTAATATGAGAAGCAAATGTTATTATATACTAAAGTTTTCATGTATAAAGAACCAGAAATACAAAAGCAGCGTTATTAGTAATACCCACATAATGAGACTGTTGGTGTCAAAACAACTTTCTTATACTTAAATCATAACATTATTGTAGATGCACTAGCTGATTTTTGTAACCACAGTTATTATCTGAAAATATAATACATTAGTAACTTGTCACAAACCTCTAGTCTAGTAAGTTTGTTGTTTTTAATTTTATGGTGTTTTATTTTAACAATATCTACTTGTTAAATCATTTGTTCTTTTTTTGCTTACTTATTATTATAATGTAATAGTTGTTGCCAATGTACATCTTCCCGGAAGCTTCGAATAATTCTTGTTTTCTAGATCATTTCCTACTTCCTTTTTCTTGGGTTGTTCCCTATGGCACAGAACTAAAAATCAACCAACTAGGAAGCTCACAGTCTGGTATTTTGCAAATTAAGCCTCTAGGCAGCTGGCACAATCTCTTTATATAGCATAAAACAACATATAATAGTGATATTTGGGATTTATTGAACACTTTTTTGTATAGCTTATTACATTTCCTATTTAATCTTCCCAAAAAACTGAGATAGGTACTATTATTATCCTTTATTTCTACCTAAAGCATAGAGGTTAGGTAACTTGCCCTCACATAGCTCATAAGTGGTAGAGCTTAAGGTCAAATTCCTTTTGTTAACTATTACACTGAAGACTTGTATTCATTCTGTCTATTCATCTAACGGAAATTGCATTAAGTTAGTTAACTAAGCACAACCAATGGTACTACTGGCTCTAATTTGAAGAGAATACTTTAAGTCCTTCTTAAGCATGAGTTACTTCATGTCAGTGTCTCATCAAAGCAGGCTATTCTCTGACTTCTTCTATTCCCCATCTCATGTGGGTCACTCAGCATTCACTTTGCATAAGTAAGCACTGGCTTTGAATTTTTAATTTCTTGCTATACTGATTTTAGGGTATTAGCTAGGTCCTGATCAATGTGTCCTCTTAAGTACTATTACTCCATCTCACCTTTGGACACAGTTTAATTATCAAAGAATGTTTTCCAGTGTTTGTATAATAAATTACTATAATTGGAGGAGGAATGTTGAGTTGCGAACAGTGTATTGCAGTCATTTTGCCTTCTAAGTATACAGTTTCCTAGTCTAAACGTTTGCACTTGGGAATTTAAAAATACTTTTAATTTTATATTTTAGCTGGATGATACTTTATGTCCATTTATTACATTATCATGTAGTTTCTAGTGCTCAACATTATTAAGATAGCACAATTCTAGCAATAGAAGGAAGTATAAAGATTATTTATATCTAATATCCCTCCTCTTCATACTTTAACCCCTTTTGCTTTGGGGGAGGGTCATTAGTTAATAAGTCTAGTAATTTTATTTCCGGACAGTGGTTTTGGTGCTTTTCACTAGCCAATGAACAGTAAAAATGCACTGTTTTGGAAAGCATACTGCCAGAATTAAATTGTTAATATATAACAACCATTTCCCTAATCATCTGTGTTTTTTTTAATATATTCTCACACAGAAGAAAGAACCTTCTAAATCCAGCGTCAAGAAAAAAGTGACCAAAGTCGCAGAAGCAAAAAAAGTAATGAAGAGAAATTTTAAAGTGAACAAGAAAATAACATTTACCGATGAAGGAGAGGTAAGATTCTGTAGATGCTTTGTTGCTGAGGTACATTCCAAGTACTAAGAAGAGTTTGCCTCTCCTGCTGATTTGCCATTCATTAACGAGAGAGTAAATTGTTTCTTTACAGCATGTTGGGCAGTTCCTTCCACTGTTATTGAAGGTATTTCATCGGCTCTACGGCTGTAGACAAGGATGCCTTATTGACAATAAACTCAGATAATTCTTGGTGATAACGACACACAGTTGGCTTTGAACTTTCTAAATTTTGTGTTTTTTTCTCATCGTGGTATTATCAACATGTTCAGTGGGAATAAGCACAAGAATACTAACAACTACATGCCACAGCTGCTTTTGCTTGACTCTTAGCCTCTGCTCTGCAGTTCCTTAATTTTAGATGCTGTACTTGCATGTTTCTTGCTGGCCTGGCTATGGGAGGGAATTCTCTGCTTTAAAGTAATCTCAGACACCTAAGTTCCTGTTTTCATCTTTCCTTTACCTTGGCCTTATTGTAAATGCTCATATATACCCATAGTGTAGGGAAGGGGTTACCACCCACAGATTACTCATGAAAGCTCACTCTATTACATAGTAATTATCTTGTTTTTTAAATGATGAAATAGATCCAGAATGTCAAGTGACTTATCTAAGGAGTGATGACTAGTGAATCATCATGGCAGAGTCTTCTGAATATCATCTCATGGCCTCATTCTCACCAGCCTACAGGTTTCCCTGACCATCCTAATACAGCACAAACAGCACCTTACCTCCACCATAATCTCACTCTTCCTTATTTTGCTTTACAGCACTTATTTTGTGACTTCATAGTCTATGTTTATTTGACTTTTGTCAATTTCTTCCACTCCACTTCTTCAGGAGGGAAGGTATTTTGTTGTCTTTATTCACTGTTCTATCCCTAGCACCTAGACCAGTGCCTACCATATAATAAACCCATAAGAAAATCTGTTGAATGAATGATTCATCATCTGTTATTCCAGTAAAATAACAGAGTTTTTCATATTGACTATAATGTATCACATCATGTATTTCATCATCACTAATCAGTGCTGCTTAAGCAGTCTATATCCAGTGGAGTATGTTTCCTTTTAATTTTGAAGTTAACAAAGATTTGGATGTTATTTTGAGGTGTATAAATCAGATGAAAAGTAACAAAATAGAGTGCAATTCAAAGTTGCTAGAAGTTGAAGAGGAAGTCTATATAAATGATAAATAATGGATCTTTATGAAATTACTAAAAAGAGGTCAGCACCTGAGAAGGAGGCTAAACTAGAATATGGTCACATTACATCTGCTGTTCACTGTAAAATAAGTAGAGTGCTATTAGCATAATGAGGTTCCTTAGTGTGCGAGTAAGTTTAATTTCACAGATTATACCAATTAGTTCCATCACGAGTATAAATCCTTAACTGTAAAATGTTTTAATGTGTACTTATTACTTCTGGGTGCTGTTTGTGGTCATGACCCATACTGTATCTTCTTAGCTAAAGCTCTGAAAGGAGCTATAGTATTTGTTCAACCCACAGAGGGATAACCAGTTCTTCTCTATGATAGAAGTAGGGATCAGGAGCCTGAGTAATGGATGATATTCTTATTGTCACAACTGATCCCGCTCTCTGCTTCTTTAGGGTCAGTGACTGCTAGCATGGCTGCTTATGCGATATTATTTGTCACCCCCTTATCTGCCAAAAGTTGAGACTCGATAGGAGTTTCATCTCGAAGAATGCGTGGCTACAAGAGTGAGAGGAGGCATTAATATCTGTGATGTATGTGCCTACAATTTCCATTTGCCTACAGGCTAATTAGCAGTCTTTCAAAATAGTAGCAGCTATTAAATCCTTCTGGCAATTAATTGTTAGATAAAATAAGGGAACCGTCAATTGTTAGATAAAATAAGGGAATCATTTTTTGTCTAAATTATCTAGGGGAGTTTTACAATGTGAGATATGGAAATTAGTGTGTCAAATAAACTTTATTTTTCTAGAAAGGGACACGGGTGTCCAGAGATTAAGGAATTTATTCAGTTTATGCAGTAGGCTAGTGAAAAAGCCATGATATTCAGTCAGGTCCCCTGACTCCCAGGTCACTGACCTGTCTTCTATGTCACTTGTTTCTGACCATAAACTGTGAATAAAATTGTGTGGATTTGAGCATGCCTGTGAAATCAAAACTAATTTTCTCCTTTACATTTAGTTATTGCAGTATTTATCTGTAATATTGGCTGATAAGTGATTCATTGATCAATTTTGAGCACCTGTTTAATATGTGCCAGATACTATGTTTATTCTCTGAGAATAAATTAACAAGACAAATGAACTGCCCTTAAGCAGATTAATTCTTGTAAGAAACACAGGAAAGTAAAACACAGTATTATGAGATATGTGTTAGAGGCACACAGGTGCCACAGTAGCCCATAGGAGGTAGATGCTAGTCAGCCTGGGTGCTGCTCTGTGCAGATAATTTTGATGTGAGTCATATGAAGAATAGGACACTAAGATCACCAAGAAGATGTCGAAGCATTCCTATTCTGTAACTACCTTCTCCAAATAATTTTGTGAAATTTTCTTCTAATTCAGTTCTCATTGGGTTACTGCATCATTACTTTATCTTGACCAGGGTAGTCTTTTCTGTGGCTTGCTCACTTTAATTTTGATGTTTGCGAGAACCTTTAAGAAATACAGGTTGTAAGGCAGAAAGTGGCTAAATGCACCATTTCAAAATCATCATACAAAAGGAAATAGTTTTCTGTGGCTTTTCTTTTTCCTGCTCCACACTTGACCTTTTTTCTGTCTGTAGTTGGTTCAGCAGTGGCCACAAATGCAGAAATCCATCATGAAGGATACTGAGGAAGAAGACAGCCCAGGTGGTATCAACTTGGATAAGGCAAAGGAAAGGCTTCAGGAAGAGGACAAATTTGACAAAGAAGAGTATAGGAAGAAAATAAAGGCAAAGCATCGGGTAAGATTTCCATCTTGAATTAATACTGAGTCAAATTCAGTATGTCACTAAATATGTCTAAATGTTCATGAGCTATTTATTAATGACGATGTTACTTTCTTGGTTGTTTTCACTGACAGTTCTTTTTCTATGGCTGTCTTGTTCTTTTATCTGTTCCTTTTGACCTTCTGTTGGGGGAATCTTTGTTTACTGACTGGTTTCTGAGAATGTCACCTAAATCTGCTTTTAGTCTGAGGTGACCCAAGTAATATTAGTGTGTTTTTTTAAGTTTTCATTTTGAGATAATTGTAGTTTCACATGTAGTTGTAAGAAGTAATACAGAAAGATCTCATGTTCTCCATTACTATAATTTTGTCATAAAACTATACGGTATGTAGCCTTTTGGGACTGGCTTTTTTCTCTGAGCATTATTCTCTGGAGATTCATCCGAGTTGTGTGTATCAAAACTTCGTTCCTTTTATTACTGGGTAGTATTCCATGGTATAGATTTACCAAGGTTTGTTTCACCATTCACCCGCTGAAGGACATTGATGGTGTTTGCAGATTCAACTTAGCAGTTAAATTTCTTTCTATAGCAATTACTTGTTAATAGATATGAGATTAAATTTGTTATTGTTACAAAAAATGGAAACCTTCTAAGAGACAGTGCTTGTATATAAAAAGAATGTGCCCTGGTGGCCTTAAACTTGGCCGTTTATTATACTTGATTGTGGTCACACATGATATTATCATTCTGTTATACTACTTCATTCCCTAAAAGTGGACATTTTGCTAGATAAATGGATTGATTAAATAAAGCACATTTACATTTTTAAAGAACTTTCTGCAGCATGCCCTTGAGACAATGAATGATTTCAGAATAGCACAATATCATACTTGAGAATGCCATAATATTAATTCTGTATTAAGAACCTTTTAAGCCTTTGGATGTGGGCATTGTTAACTATATCCTGATTCAGTTAACTAAAGGATTCTTCTAGTTTTTCACTCCTGTTTGACCTTGTAACTAATGGACCAGTATACATGCTCTCTTTCTTTTTATTAATAGAGCAGCAATTCTTACTTCTTTAAGATTTGATGCAGCTACACAGTAGTATTTGATGGAAAAGAAAAAGTAGACATTTAAGATAGCTTCAGTTGGGAATGAATGTTGAAAAAAACATTCCAGAAATAATGGAGTACAAATGAACATGAAATATACTGGTTGCAATTGTTAGATGTTTATGTTATTGAGAGAACTAAACATTTCTTTTATTGCTTCTTTTAGTATGGTACTTAAATTGAAATTTGGCATTAACATTTTGTTGTTAAAATCTTTTATAATACTGAGTGTCAGCAGCCAGTCATGTTTCAGCTTACAGTCTTAGAGTATTTATCCAGGAGAAGATTGAACATAGAAATGTTTTAGCCTTCATAAGAAATATGAAGAGTTTTCATCAAATAAAGCTTTTTCTCCCTTACCTTTCCTTGCCTTCTCTTTTCTCCCATATTGTGGGAGTTATTACTATATTCAGATTGTAGAATATTGTTTCTGAAACCTTTCAAAAGTCAATTTTTAATGGACTAATTGTACATGTATTACATGGCATTTGTGTGTTAGGCTATCCGCTAGGCTGTGAAGGTGGAATTTCTAAAATACATGGGTCCCTCTGTCCTCAGGAAGATTATAATTAAATCATAATGAACTTTGTATATGCTGTCATTTCACAACAGCTGTTTGTACCTCTGTTTATTTTAACATTAAATTTTTTGGAAAAAATAATATATTCACGTGGTTCCAATGTCAAGATGATTAAAAAAAACTTAGACTTTGAGTATTGTTGCTTCTGTCTGTTTTACTGATATTTCCACCTTTATAGCTAATTACTTCTATTAATTTTTAATGTATCCTTCTATTTTCTTTATGGAAATAGTAATTAGGAATACATATTCTTATTTTCTCACTTTCTTATATGAAGTTAGCATACTGTGTATAGATTGTTCAGCACTTTTCTATTTTCACTCATTTTTGAGATTTTAAATATTTTTTTGCACCATTGTTAAAATATAACATGATTTTAAAACTGTCTCATTGACTGTCTCACAGCAAGGTTCAACAGAGTAGTTTTGGGCTGAAAAAGTCATGGGAGAAATCATCTGAATTTCACATACTATGGGTTTTGAAGTCAGTACCTCTGTAACTAAAAGAGTCTTATTAAACAAGTGAAAACTTGCTATTTTATGTAAAATAGGTATATTTCGCACAAGGCAGCCCATGGCATACCTTCCAAATAAGAGTTTGAAAATATTATGTAGGCTGAGGGGGAAAAAAAAAAGCACAAGGAAATATCTAGAATAATTCTCTCTATACTACATTAATGTAAATACATGATTGGTTTCTTGGTATTTTCATCAATAAAATTATTATTTACACAAATATATTTCTGTGTATTAGAGAAAATTTTATATTTGTTAGCACTTTGAAATTAGTGTGTTTATTATGACAGCCTACATAAGACGCAATGTAGGCGCTGAAATCAGTTATGCTCCAAATTGTCATGGAGTGGATTTTTGCCAATAAGACACATGGAATATTTTTTTAAATGGCAAGTTTTAAGGTTTGGCATAGTGAAACCGTGGTGCTTGGTGGAAAGAGTACTAGGCTATAAGGTGGAATACCTGTATTTGAGTCCTGAGTATGGCATTATCTAGTGTAATTTGGATTACCAGTCACCAATTTGGACTGCATTTTCCTAATCTGAAAAATGAAAGTGTGGGAATGGCAGATAATTCCAGGTCATCAGTGAGATCCTCTGGCTCTCACTAGTTAAGGTCTAGTTAAGTCACGGGAATAAAATTACCCTTTACTGTTTGGAAAATGGAATTTTGACTTGGTTGGAGCACAGCCTTATAACATCAAGGTCAAGGGTTCAGATCCCCATACCAGCCAGCCACCCCCCCAAAAAAGACCCCCAAACAAAACCCCAAAATATTTCATGATTATATTTTTGGTTTAAAAGAATAAGAATATTTAATATGTAAGTGAATTTAGTTTTAATGTTTCTGTCTGGAAGTAGTTGCTCCTGCTTTTAAAAATTGACAGCCTTGCCCCGTCATTTTGGATATGCACTCAATGTTTGTAATGTAGGACTCAGGTACTCATCTTGTCCCACTCATTTTTCCTCCATACTGTTTCACTTGTTCTTGACTCATGTTCATCTACCAAATTCTGAAAGCTGTGTAATTTCTACTGTGACTGAAGTAAATACCTTTGTCTTAAAGGTTTAGAAAATGAGGTATTTATTTATTTTTAGTTTTACTTTAATTTTTAATCGACAGAGAACAATTGTATATATTTAGGGAGTACAATGTGATGTTTCATTACATGTATGCATTGTGGGATGATCAAATCTGGCTAATTACCATACCCATCACTTCAAATATTTATTATGTCTTTGTGGTAAAAACATTTTCCTCTCTTTTAGCTATTTGGAAATATATAATACGTTATTACTGACTATAGTCACCATGCTGTGCAATAGATCATCAGAACTTATTGTCTTAACTGAAACTTTAACCAACATCTCTCCTTTCCTTCCTGGTTTCCCCTCTCTCCCTGCCTCTGGTCGTCACCATTCTACTTTCTGCTTCCATGAGTTTGACTTTCTTAGGTTCCACATATAAATGAAATCTTACAATATCTGCCTCTCTGTGCCTGGCTTATTTCACTTAGCATGATGTCTTCTAGATTCATTCACATTGTCACAACTGACAGTCTTCCCTGATTTTTTAAGGCTAAATAGTATTCCACGTATATGTATACCACATTTAAAAAATCTGTTTGTTGATGGGTACTTAGGTTGTTTACATACTTTGGCTATTGTGAATAAAGTTGCAGTGAACATGGGGGTGCAGACATTTCTTTGACATACTGATTTCAATTCCTGTGGGTGTAAGAGGTATAAATATTTTAGTGAAGTTAGCAACGTTACATGCTATGGGATTAATATCCAGAATACACATAGAACTCAAGCAAGTATACAGTAAAAAAACAAATAACCAAATTAAAAAATTGGCAAAGGAGCTGAATAGACATTTTTCAAAGGAAGACATACAAATGGCCAACAGATACATGAAAAAATGCTCAACATCACTAGTCATTAGGGAAATGCAAATGACAACTACATTGAGATACCACCTCACCCCAGTTAGACTGACTATAATCCAAAAGACAATGAATAACAAATGCTGGCGAGGTTATGGAAAGAAGGGAAGACTACTGCACTGTTGGTGGGACTGTGAATTAGTACAACCACTATGGAAAACAGTATAGAGGTTTCTCAAACAACTACAGATAGATCTTTCATATGATCCAGCTATCCCTCTTCTGGTATATACCCAGAGGAATGGAAATCATTATGTCGAAGGGATACCTGCACTCCCGTGCTCATCGCAGCTCTGTTTACAATAGCCAAGATATGGAACCAACCTAAATGTTCATCGATGGATGATTGGATAAGGAAAGTGTGGTATATATGCACCATGGGATACTACTGTGCCATAAAAAAGAATGAAATACTCCCATTTGCAACTACATGGATGAACCTGGAGAAACTCATGTTGAGTGAAATAAGCAAAGCACAGAGGGATAAATACCACATGTGCTCACTCATATGTGGAGCTAAGAGAGAAAGGAAGGAAGGAAAGAAAGACCACAGAAATGCATTGGTCTTACTGAAGGAGGGAACATTCCTAGGGCTACAAAGCGGAGTGGGGGGCAAATGGGGAGGGGGAGGGAGGTTGGGGGATAATTGGGTGAGGGACACGGGGTACAAAAGTAATTTCTGGTAATGGGTATGCCCTAGTATGAATCTGGCCCGCACATCATGGGCACGAGGGGTGGCAGTTAGCTTTGTATCTTATGAATATTCATAGTAAAAAAAATTTTTTTTAGCTGGATTATAACACAAAAGAAATAAGCTATATAATTTCATGGCATCACTGGAACTACAACTCAGCTC